CATGTTCGTACGAACCCTTTGTACGAACACAAGTAAGAGAAATTTAGGATAAGAATACGAACATGTTCTTGCATGAGGCCCATTGTCTCCTACTCCCCATTAAAGGAGATATATGCTTTTAAACTCATCTTTTTCCACATTTAAATCATTCAGTTGGGGTCTATATAAAGTGGAACTGCAATGCTTTAATATGAAATTCCCCCTTATTGTAACTCCACAAGCCCCTCTTTCACCCCTTTTTAGAGGTGCGTCTCAGATCAACTCGTTTTGACGCTGTCTCTTTAAATCCAAACGAGACGCTTCACGTAATAGTTCGGAAAATGTTGATTGTGCATATGTCTCCTTGAAATAAATCATTGGACAAAAGTGTGCTAATTTTTAAAAACATGTTTCCTCAGTGACAAAGCTGACACAGTTCCAGGTTATGATTTTCTGGTGAACTCCGTGTGGCCTGAGATGATCAAAGGAATAGAGGAAAGGTTGGCTTACATCTTCAACCCTGGAAACCCTGACATATTCTATGAGGTATGCCATGTTGTGTATTAAAATATGCAGGGTTTGATTGTGTAGTTTCTCCAAGACGTGTTACTTTTTATTTCATTTCGTTTGTGGCATTTTTAGCGTTACAGCGTTAGTATGGAGTTTGTGCGACGGTTTGAGCGTCAGTGCAGCTCGCAGGCCAGTGTGAAGAGACTAAGAGTTCACCCCTCGTTTACCAGCTTCAACAACAAGTGGAACCTGCCAGTCTACTTTCAGCTACGGTAAATATGTATTCGATTTCTTTTACATTTCACATATCACAGTAAAAAAAAAGCTATCAGGTATGGTCAGAGTTGCAAGATTCCTTCTTCAACAGGTAATGTTTTGTGTGCCATCTTCACAACTAAACTAATACACAAATCAGCCTTTCTATTTACTCCTGAATGATGTTTACCAAATGCTCATTTTTAACAGTTCTTCAGACTATTGCAAAGCTATTTTATTACAAACATTTCCACAAGTTTAATTTTATCCTAAACTGAATGGTATTAATTATAAAGAAAAAATAATTATATTTGTGTAATGTAAGAAACATAAATGTTGTGTCTTATAAACAGTCAGATGTTGCTGTAAGTGCAATTCCTGAGTGTTTTTTGTGGAATCGATATGTCTTGTTTTCAGGGCTCAAGAGATGAGCTCAGATTAAAATTGCAGCCTGTCAGCATTTTCTGTAGATAAAGCTCCAACAAAGACCATTTTTACAGGAAACCTGGGAAATTGCTTATGGCTGTAAGTTTTCTGAAGGCTGATGACTCAAAGCAAAATGTAAATTGTGCGTCAGCGCATTACTAAACACAAACATGACACTAAAACCTTGGCAGGACGGCCATGGATCTGTGTTTGTCAAACCCCTCTGACCCCAACAAATACACTCACTGTAAAATACACAACGTGCAGGTTCAACGCTGCATGTCAAAGCAAAGATTAAGTGTTGTGTTCACATTTCACAACACAAACCTCCACAGATCAGCTTTACTGGAGAGTCGAAAAATTCCATGTTTGTATTTGTAGCTCATCACTTATTGTTCTGTCCTCTCTTCAATGAGTCACTTTGTTTTATAGGTACAAGGAAATAGCTGGGCGCCTGGAGAACGCCATAAGTGATGGATTAGAGGCAGCACCAGGTAGAAAATGATGCTTTATTATAATAAAGTGTTTATTAGTTAGATTGCTTACAATTGTGTATTTGTTTATTTCCAGCTGGTAGTGCATACCACTTGCAGGTTTCCGAGGTTTTATGGAGCTGTTTGATGAAATGCTGGTCTGACAAGGTGTATCTGTCACCTCTGGCCCATCGCTTCTGGAAACTGACCCTGCAGCTATACTCACGATATGCCAAGTTTCTTGAAGAGGTAAACGAGGGTAATTCAATATTTGCAGGGTTTCTGTTATTCCCTTAAAATGCAACACACTGGATTGTTTTTGTGGGGAGATCCAAAAGGGCATAGACTCATKTACTGCTAGCTGGAGTTGCTTGTATCTTAATTCTCATTCTGATCTGTCTGCACAGGTGTTGACAAAGACGCCGCCCCCTGAGGTGCCGAAGGAGCCAGTCAGGCCTCTGCCCAGCTCGGCCTCCTCCACTTCCAGTCGAACGTCACTGGATGAGGGAGGCAGTGAGAGCGGGGGTCCTGCCTCTCTGTCCACCAAACAGCTGGTTTACATCGCTGCTGACATCCAGAAGCTGCAGGAGCAGGTACACACACACACACACACACACACCTCTCTATATTTGTGTGGATTTTACGTTGACTTCCATTAATTTCTACAGCCTAATCTTGACCCCTTACCTTAAAACTAACCTCACAGGTACATACCTAACCTTAAACCTAACCTAAATGTCATTCATCTCTAATCCCTGACCCACAAATTAGTTTTTTCCATTGTGTGGACCAGGCAAATGTTCAGACAACAGCGACATTGACTGCCTTTATTGTCATTGTATGGAGCACAATGAAATTACATTTCAGAACACCCATTCAAGAAGACACAGACATGACAAATTTCCTCATAAGTTAGTATAATGTCAATAATGTCCACATACCAATACAAAAACATGGATGCAAACACACACACATACACACAAATTGATGTTTGGAAGACCCTATCAAGTGAAATCATGTTGTTTTTTATCATGTAATGAAAAATAATATGTTTGCACTTATTATCAATGTAAGTTTCAGAGGTCTTGTAATCTAAAAAATATATTCAGTCTTGAAACTTTGCTTTTATCTTCAGCATTTCCACACTGACAGTCATCTTTCTCTTAGATTCCCAAGTTGTCAGAAGTGGTCCGGCAGAGGTTAGAAGCCATTGGATTCAAAAATTTTGCGGCTGTTGACAGTAAGTTCTTTATATGAAGAGCATAGATGTACATTCTTTTTCTTTTGCTGCCTTTTTCTAATCTTCTTGACATTTTTTTTTGGGGGGGGGGGGGGTATTTAACAAAAAGTGAAGAACAACTTGGGAAACTTTCCTTTTTGGCAATTTGCAGTCAGCAGAGCATCTTCTAGGTTTTTGTTTTTGGGTGCGAGGCGATTTTCTAATCTTCTTGACATTTTTTTTTGGGGGGGGGGGTGGTATTTAACAAAAGTGAAGAACAACTTGGGAAACTTTCCTTTTTGGCAATTTGCAGTCAGCAGAGCATCTTCTAGGTTTTTGTTTTTGGGTGCGAGGCGATCATAAAAGCTAGTKTACATTGACATAATGTATGCATCTTTGTACGACTTAAAATAGAAGGCCATGTGGTCTTGCATATTTACAAGCACTTAATTTTCACCTCAGATGGTCTGGCAGACTCTAAGGCTTGCCTGTCAACCAGTGCTCCTTCACTGAACACCAGGATGACTCAGCATCTGACTGAACGCTGCTGCCGTTTCCTGAAAAGTGCCTCTGAGGTTCCAAGACTCTACCGCAGGACAAATAAAGTAAGTGGACTTGTTTTACTTGTATTTTATAAAATTTTTTGTCCACACTTTTGGCTTTTTAAACGCAAAAGAAAAGAAACCTGTAACCCATTATAAGTACAAAAGATAAAAGTAATTCATGCCTTTAACATCAAACTTCTGTGTGCAGGATCTTCCTGTGCGTGCATCGGCTTACATGGACAATGCCTTACAGCCATTACATCAGTTGTTGACTGACTCCGCAGGGCTGGTTACCCCCCAAACAGCACAAGGATGGCTGCGAGTAACACTGTCTGACTGCACACAGAAGTAAGTTTAGAAATACAAATCCATAACACATAAATCCAAAGTGAGCCATTTGTTAAAACAATATTTCTGCTGACTGTCTTTGGGAAAAATGTGGTTCCACCTTTGTTTTCTCCTTGGCATTCAGGTACTATGAGACCATTTCAGAAGTTCTGAGCTCAGTGAAAAAGATGGAGGAGAGTCTGAAGCGTTTAAAGCAAGCCAGAAAGGGTGCGGCCGCGACCACCACAACCGGAGCGAACGGCGGACCATCAGACGACAGCAAAATCCGACTTCAGCTGGCTCTGGATGTGGAGTATTTGGGGGAACAGGTATGTCTCAGTATACAAACAAAACCTGTATTAAAAAAAAAAGTTCAAATACAAACTACCATCATAACTCTGCTGTTATGTGTCTCAGATTCAGAAAATGGGCCTTCAGCCAAATGACATCTCCATGTTCTCCCCGCTGTTGGAGCTTGTGAAAGAAGCCCGAGAACTCGCAGAACAAAACCATTAGAAAATTGGGTCTAAAGGGATTTTAACTTCTAAATGTGATGTACGCCTCTACATTTTCTGTAGACTTGCAGAGGACACTAACCTGAGGCAGAAGTTGTGTGTCGCGATGAAACTGAAGGAAAAAAAATCTGTCATCTGTAATTATTATGCAAACCTCAGAGGCTGCAGTGTTTGTATTTTAAAGATGGCATGAACACAATGAATTGTATTGTGCTGTGGCATCATATACTACTGAGTAGTTATATGAACTACTGTGTGTATACTGAACATCCACAGGTCAGAATGTTGTGTATAAAAACACTCAAATTGTATCTGCCATTTGTCAAATTTCTCCTTAATCTAAAAAAATGTTTGTTGTGTAAAATATTCAAATCAAAGTTGTGGAAAAAAAAACATAATTTACTTGGGAATGAACTGGCTTTGGATATATTTGAAATGAATATGTTTGAGTTCAAAGGTCAACGGGTTGTAATTGTTTTTTTGTTCCCCACCACACATTTCTTGATCAAGTTATAAGTAATAACCCAATCATACTGAATGATCATAATGAAACACTATGTGGATTTGTTCAGGAAAAGTTTTATTTTTGCTATCACAAAATAGGTTCCTAATTACAATATGCAAAAGAAGTCATTTCAAATAAAACTTAACAAATGTATTTCTGAAAAATATTGTAGAGAAGCTGAGAGATTTTAATTAAATGACTATAAAAACGAGTCAGCGTGTAGTAAAACCTTTTTTTATAAATACTGCAACGGGACCCACACTGACTAAATTTACTGTAAGATGAGCATAGCTAAGAAAAACAATAGTACTGTTAAACATTGCTAGACATCTTTTTTTACCCTGAGCTTAATCTTGCATTATTGTCATTTTTCAGATAGATACATGTTTTTTTTGTTCGAAGTATAAGCCTTTAGACTGTAGGGTTGACAAGCTTTCCCATGAGGAGGTAGGATGCATAATGTCCTTCTATGACGGAGAAGAAGAATGGCCTGCTAAAGGACAGTTTCAGAGGGATCCCTGCTTCCTGTTCTTTGTCCTGAGGGTCTGCTTCTCCTTCTGACATCTCGAAGTGCACGGTGTTGATCGCCTGAAAGGGTGCAATAAAAACTGTAACAACTGATATATACTTTGGAGGCGATTTTATAATAAAAAATAGATGACTCTGATTAACCTTATCTATGGTGAATGGACTGGTGTTGCTGAGCTGACTGAACTCAGCCTGGGAGCCCAACAGGCCAGACTCGAGCATCGGGTTCATGTTGTTCAGCAGGTTACCCACGTTGTTCTCAGAAGACAAAGAGAACTTAGGAAGGGTCAGCTCTAAAAGGCTGGGATAAGAAAAAGGACACTTAGGACCAAAATTAGATGGGAAGTTTTTTGTTTTTTCCTCTTCAAATCCACAACCGTGTTTACATTTGCTTTATGACTGACTATGATCAGGTAAACCTAAATCTATAAACGACTACAAGAAGACAAAGTCTCTGAGTTCAGGGTAAAAGGTTTTCAGACCTCTGGTTTGTCAACATTGGACCATAGGAAAAAAAAAAACTTACCCTTCCTGGAGGTTCTGGTGCCATCTTTCCATGAGCGTTCCTAACATTTTTGACTCTATTTCACGGAAACCGACGCCTTCATGAGGCAGAACCAGCAATATGTAAGAATGTTTACTCAGTGAGAGCTTCACAACTGTGCACTTGTTCCCCTTCAAAACATCACACATACCAGACGAGTTAAATCCTTCTGCTCATCTTTGTTTCATTGCAACAAAAGTGCAGTAAGCACAAATCTGTCTGATAGGCTTTACCTCGTCTTTCCAGTAGTGATAGTGTCCTGTGCGGGTCATCATTGGAGTCATTACTGTTGTTGTTTTATCCACGTGAAACTCCTGCAAGGAGGTTTTATCTGGCTGGAAAGCGGTTGTCCAGTTGCCTAAATAACCACAGAACAAAGCCAGGTACATTTCATTTTTTCTTGGAACAGATTATTTTGTTAAGTAAACCCAACACTTATAGACCTTTATAGCTGAAGGATGAAATGAACAGAAAGTTGGTGCTTGGGGTCAAATCTGTGAAGATGTTCTTCATCTTCCCATCTGAGGTCCTCTCCACAAAGCTGTTCACCAGTGCTTCTGCCTGGGGGTTTGAGAAGTCCATGCCCCGAATGAATGACACGTCTGAGAAATCTTGTGTGCCTTGGATAAAGTCTCCAGAGAGATGAACATCCTTGGGAGCAAAGGCCCACACCTGGGTGGTGATTTGGTCTTTGGGTCCATCTTCCACCATAGAGTTAATGGCCTGTAGGGTACTTAGAACCTTGTGTCCATCCACTAAATATACACAGTCCTCTCTATCAGTGCCCCTACTCAGGCCAAGAAGGTTCTAGGAGAAAAGAAAATTATTTCTAATCAGATGAACATCAAACAATAAAAAAATAAAGGATAAAAATGGTATGCKTCACAAAAAAACAACACTTGGGACCCCTTAAGAACAAATCAAATTATGCACCTGGAAAGACTTGGCTGTCCTCTTAGAGGCTCCCAGGTGGAAGTTGACAAGTGACCCAAAAGTGCTGACYGGAGAGAGGAGGATGTTGGTGCTGTTTTGTCTTTTGCTGAGAGCCTGATACATCCGCTCACCCAAAATGTTGGACAGCTTAGCCAGGATGTTGGTCCTCTCTGTGATGTTCTTCCTCTGYGCATCCAGTTTTGACAGATCCCTGTCGTCTGGTGTCAAGACGTCAATGTCCAGCGGGGCCACAGGGATGGTCTTCGGAGGCTTGACGGCCGGGTTCTGCAGAGGCTCACAGCTGACATTCTCAGCAGCAAAAAGATAGAAGGGATGAACGTAGACACGGTTGGCTTGGCTTCCAGGGAGGCAGCAGARGAAGACCACGAGAAGATAAAACTGTAACTTCATTTTATCTTTGATTGGTAGTTTGGATGATTTTTTTTTTCCTGTGGGTAAAACACACACATGATATTTTATATTTTGAGCGTAATCACCTTTTAACCTGTATTTGTTTCCAAGTAATCTCTGAATGTTTGAGAAACCCAAGAGAAGCGTTCATCCCAGACTTGGCTGGATCTGGTTTTAGTGTGCTGAATGTCAGTGACTGATTGATTTTTTTTTGCATGTTTTCACTCAGTGAATGACAACAGACCTTGCCCCTTGCAACAGAGAAAATAAACACACATCTCTGTGGCTCTATAAGATTGTGTATGTTTAGATGGATCCCGTTTCATAAGGATTAATTTTTCTTTCACACAGAACCGGATAAAACTGCCTTCAAACTGCAGAACACATTTCCATAATCAAATATGCAAGTGACCAAGTGTATATAATCAATAAAGTTGAATGAGAAAATTCCCTTACATAAGAATTGCTATTCATAATGTTCAGTGTTCAAATAGGTAATTACTGAGAGGTTTAATGGAATCTTTGTTGCCGTTTTCCTGCAGTTGATTGCTGTGATTCTATAATTTTTAACAATTTACGTATTGGGCTCAGGCAAATTTAGGACTTTATCCTGTGACTTGAATATGGAGGTGGATGGACCGTTGGACTCTTATAGGGGATGAACAAACACATGATTTTTCTTTGTTTAGACAAGTACCTCAACACGGCCTTGGTTCCTGATCAATAAATGTCCATTTACTCAGTCAAACTGCATGTGAATGGATGCACATTAAAATATATACAGACACAGGGGCGCTTGTCTCCCGTGTCTGCCTTGGGTCTTGGCGGTTGGGTCTTTGGTCCTCCACAGTCACTATTAAATATTCCATTAGAGAAATCTTGTATATACATGCATGCTCACAACCTCTCACAAACAGGTGTTCAGATCCAGGGGGTTCTGACAGGTCACTGTGTCTGCGTGTATATATCTACAGTATATGTTTTATATA